ACTGCATTGTGGTAGAGATTTACGTGACCTACTAAGTGATCTCCCCGAAAAGTCTAGTACCCACCTGGCACAACTCATTATATTAATGACTATATTCTTCATACTGTACTTTACATCCCAGTCAATGTTTTGTGACTGCCAATTTGTGCTTCTTTTTTTTTTTTAATATTTATTTATTCATTTATCTTTAGACGGGAAGGGCGGAAGGAGAGAGGGAGAGAAACATCAGTGTATGGTTGCCTTTTGTGCGCCCCCTGCTGGAGACTGGCCTGCAGGGAACCAGCCTGCAACCCAGGCATCTGCCCTGACTGGGAATCGAACCGCGATTATCTGGTTTGCAGGCCCGCGCTCAATTCACTGAGCTACACCAGCCAGGGCCCAATTTGTGCTTCTTAATCCCTTCGCTTTCTTCACCCAGCTCCCCAGCCCCCTTCCCATCTGGTGACCGTCAGTTTGTTCTCTGTGTCTGAGTCTGTTTCTGTTTTGTTTGTTCATTTATTTTCTTTAGATTCCATGTATAAGTGAAACCATATGTTATTTGTTTTTCTCTGTCTGCCTTATTTCACTTAGCATAATACCCTCTAGGTTCATCCATGTCACAATGGTAAGATTTTATTCTTTTTTTAGTGGCTGAGTTATATTCCATGGTGTGTATGGACCACATCTTTCTTCTTTATCCATTCTTCTGTTGATGGACACCTAGGTTGTTTCTATAATCTTGGCTGTTGTAAATAATGCTTCAGCGGACATAAGGATGCATGTATTTTTTCAGATTAGTGTATTAGATTTCTTTGGATAAATACCCAGAAGTGGGATTTCTATGTCATATGGCAGCTGTATTTTTCCTTTTTCTTTATTCTTTTGAAGTTTTAAAAAAGATTTTATTTATTTTTAGAGAGAGGGGAAAGGAGGGAGAAAGAGGGATAGAAACATCAGCATGTGGTTGCCTCTCGAAACCCCCCTCCGCACAGGGGACGTGGCCCGCAACCCAGGCATGTGCCCTGACTGGGAATTGAACCAGCAACCCTTTGGTTCACAAGCCAGCACTCAGTCCACTGAGCCACACCAGCTAGGGCGTTTTGCGGTGGAATTTTTATAAAAAATTAATTTGAGTCAGTCTGAGGACATATGCTAAGGAGCAAGATGTCAAATGCTCCCTTTATTTTTTATTTTTTGAGATCTCTCCTCCTGTTTTCCACAGCGGCTGTGGCAGTTCCCAGTCCCACCAGCAGTGCCTATTTGGTTAAGGTTTTTAACACTTGGTAATTTCTTTTTAAACAAGGAGAGCATCCTCAGAGTTACCACCTTCAGCAAATAATCAGTATCTATCCGGAAATGAATGGCATTAATTTATTTTCATCGTCTCTATAGTCTTTAATTTACACACAGCAAAATGGACCGGCTTTTGGTGCGCCCAGCACAAGCTGGAGTAGGGAGCAGTGCCACGTCCTCAGAAGCTCACCTCGTGCCATTCTTACCCTTCCTCCTCCTCCTCTTCCCCTCGGAACATCGGTCCGTTCCCTCACCCTGTAGTGTCTGTTGTTCCCGAGTGTCACAGAAATGGGTTCACACGACATGGAACCTTGTCTAGGATTGACTGGGGTTTTCCCTGTGTTTTGGGGATAAGGCTATGTTGTTTCTCGTGTCAGTGGTTTATTTATTTTTATTGCTGTGTAGTGTTCATTCCAGTGTATAGATGCACCACAGTTTATCTTTACTCCTTGTAGGACATTTATTGTTTTCTTCTTTTATAAATTTTAAAAATTGATTCGAGAGAGGGGGAGGGAGGAAGGGAGAGGAGGAGAAAACGTGGGTTTGTTTTCCATTGATGCATTCATTGGTTGATTGTCGTAGTGCCCCAGTTGAACCCGCAACCTCAGTGCATCTGGACAACGCTCTGACCTGCTGCGCTGCCCATCCGGGACGATGTGTTTTTTCTCTCCGGATTTTGTTGGTTGTGAATAAAGCTGCTATAATAATAAATCATGCAAGCTTTGTTGTAAGCATGGGTTAATTCCATAGGTTGTGTACCGAAGAGTGGGGTTGTTGGGTCGGCCATTTGTTACACAGACCTTTATGGGAAGCCTTTCCGAGTGGCCTCGTTGTTCTGTGTTTGCTCCAGCACTCGGAGAGTTTAGTTGCTCCTAGTATTTGTCAGTACTCGGGGTTAGCCGCTTCTTTCACTTTACATGTGCGTACAGGTGTGCCGTGTGTTGGCTTCTCATCATAACTTTCATTGCTTTTCCCCACTGGCCAGTGGTGGCGAGGGGCTTCTCATGTGCTTTTACGCCCTCTCTGTATCTTCTTCAGCGAGGTGGTTGTTCAAATCTTCACTTACTTTTTAAAAATTGTCATTACTGAGTTTTTAAAAGTTCTCTGTATACTCTGGAAACAACTTGTCAGATATATGACTTAGAAATATTTTCTCACAGTCTTTACTTTCTCTTAAGAGTGTCTTTAGCAGAGCAAGAGTTTCAAAGTTTTGATTAAGCTCAATTTACAATTTTTTTAAACTTTTATAGATTATACCATTGGTGCCATGTCTGAAAAATCTTTTCCTGAACTCAAGTTCATGAAGGTTTTTTCATGTTTTTTCTAAAAGTTTTATACTTGTGGTTTTATTTTTATATCTGAGATTGTTTTAATTTGATTAGGCGTGAGGTATAGATGGAGGATCACTGTCTTTGTACATGCGAAGAGTTCACTTGGCTGACCCTGAATGTCTGCGTCTGTGTCTGCACTGTCGTGTTCGTCCCTCTGTGCGTCTGGCCTGCTGCCAGTACCACACTGTTCTGAATACTGTACCTTTATATGTAGAAATCCTTCGAATAGAGTGGTGTGAGCCTTCCAGCTTTGACCTGGCTATTCTGGCCCTGTTTGATTTCCCCCTCAATCTCTCTTTTTGTCTGTTTATATCAGTATGGACTCAGATTGTTAGGTTATTACTGTCATTTATTTGTTGAGCAAATTGTTTCAGGTCTGGTCAGTAGAACAAAGATCCTGTTTTTCTTTGAACACTTTCTTACCTTCTGGCATAACAAGATACTCCAGGTCCTCTTACACATTTCCTCTCTGAGCCCTGCAGTCAACCACTTCTCCACGGACACTTCGATTCTTCCACTGGTGAATGGCAGGTAGGAACCAGGATCTGGGAGCTAGATGTGTGCGAGCATTGCGGGTTGTCATTGCATCAAAGCCCCTCTCAGTGGGCGGGGCTGGGAAATAAATGTGCATACGTGTGCGTGCAGACACATGTACACACGTCTGTGCCCTTTTCTGTTGAAAACTGTGCTTTCATACGGTTACCATCCATTTTTCCCCAGCACCAAAGAATTCTTTCTGGCCTCTCCCTTTCGTATTTGCAACTCTTTCCCTCAGGGTAATTGTGTTGAGGTTCATTTGTGTTTTATACTTAAGTAGTTCATTCTTTTTCATTGCTGAGTTTTATTTCACTGAGTGGATACAGCACACCACATTTTAGGAAATTGCCAGAATGTCGCCCTAAAGTCATAGCACCGTTTTCCATTCCCACCAGCAGTGCGTGAGAGTTCCGGTTCCTCCACATTATTGCCAGACCTTGGTGTTGTCAGTCTTTTTAATGGTATACTTTTGTAATGGGTATGCTGTGATATCTCATGTGGTTTTAATTTGCAATCCAAATTTAAATTTCTAAATAATTAAAAAATTTTTTGTTAGTTTACATACTTCTTATGTTAGTTTCAGGTGTACAGCTATGTTGTTAGACATTTATGTAGCTTACAAAGTAATCACCTCAGTAAGTCTGATGCCCTCCTGGCACCACCGCCATGACAGTGTTACTGACCGTGTTCCATGCGCTGTGCTTCACCTCCTGTTACTCTTCATAACCAGCGATTTGTGCTTCTTAACCTCTCCCCCAGCCCCTCCAGCCCCTTCTCTTTTGCAGTTATCAAACTGGCCTCTGTGTTGGAGTTTGTTTCTGTTTCATTTGTCTTTTTTTTTAAAGACTTTATTTATTTATCTTTAGAGAGGAAGGGAAGGAGAGAAATAGCAATGTATGGTTGCCTCTCATGAGTCCTCTGCTGGGAACTGGCCTGCGACCCAGGCATGTGCCCTGACTGGGAATCGAACCGCAATTGTGTGGTTCGCAGGCCCGTGCTCAATCCACTGAGCTACACCAGCCAGGGCTTGTTTTTTAAGATTCTACATGCAAGTGAAATCATATGGTATTTGTCTTTCTCTGTCACTTAACATAACATCCTCTAGGTCTACCCGTGTGTTCACAGATGGCAACATTTCCTTCTTTTTTGTGGCACTTGTAAACCTGTTGGCCTCCTATTTTGTATCAAAGATTTTTAAGAAATTGAATGCACTTTGGAAGTTTCCTTTCAAGTTAAATCTTTTTAATGGTTATTCTTTATTTTTTTTTATTTTTATTTTTTTTTAAAGATTTTATTTATTATCTAGAAGGGGGGGGGGTACGGTTGGATTCTTTATAAAGTTGTTGAAAAATCTGTGGGTTCCTGCTGTTGAGTCATGAAAAGTTACTCTGGCAGGGAAGGGTAAGGTATTCTGAGCACACCTGAAGGGTTCATATTTTGAAAGAATCTTTGAGCATCTTGCCACAGGCGGTTCCCCTTTTGGATGCCCCATGTCTGAAAGCAGAGCATCATGGTCCGTAGTGCGTAGATGACTCTGCGACGCTCCTTAGAGCTGAGTGACCTGACAGTGTGATGGTGTAAGAATGATAATTATGCCCACCACACACGTACCTGTCTATGAAGTAAGGAACAGTAAAGTAGGAAAATACTTAGAGGTAGAAATGTTTCAGGAAACCTCGGAGCCTCCTCCGCTGCCATCGTCACCTGATGGGGGTGAGCGGGCGGCACTGGGGCAGGTTTCAGTAAAGGGTGGGTGATGGCGTCATGTTTTCAGGTTAAAAGACCGGTGCGGTGTTGTTGCTCATTGCTTCATGTGTCTGCTAAGTTATAATAAGAATTTTCTTTTTTATTTCTACCAAGCCAAATTAGCAAGACGCAGTCAAGAACGAGACAATCTTGGCATGCTGGTCTGGTCACCTAATCAGAATCTATCAGAAGCAAAACGTAAGTTTTAGAGCACGTTTATTTTTTACTTTATTACCTTATACAAAATTTTAAAGAAGCTTCATAGCTAAAAGTCCCTACATGTATTACATTTCTCTTACATTTTTTAAACGAATAATTACAAGAATGTGAAAGTGTGTATTTCTTTACTGTGGCCTGTCATGATGTTTGAAAGATTTTTAATCTGCGGTTATACAATCTACTTTTTCCAAAATGCTATACAGGCAAATACTGAAGTAAGTAGGAGGAAAGGCAGAGAGTGGAAGGGAGGTTATAGTGCAGCTAGGGATTTGCAGATTTATGAAGATGGCGAGTTGAACAGATTTCTAATTCGAAAGACTACCAAGGTCAAATGTGCATTATGTATAATACAAGACTTTAGCCTCACCAAAAATAAAGCTTCAGAATTGGCTATTTATTTCATGTATTTAAAATCTTACTAGGATGAATATTCTGAGCTAACTTGGATTTGTGGGGGAGGGAGAGGGGTTCTAAAGCTATTAGTACTAGTTGTATTTGTAGAGTTAGCCTTTTCAGCTTTGTGCCTCCTCTGCTGAAATAATTTTGTATCTAATATATTACTAGAGTCTTTGCCATTTTTAGTTTTTATTTTCTTCATAACTTAAAAGAGAGAAGAAAAACCAAATTCCCTTTTGAGGATTTTTTAGCAGGGTTGTGTGGATAGAACTAATGGTGATTTGTGAACTTGGAAACTCACATGCAAAGTTTTTTGGTATATGTGCATTTTTCTGGAGAAAGGATTTTCTAAAGGGTCTTCGATCCTCACCCCTGCCCCCAAAGTCAGTGATCACTGCTCGTGTCAGGGCTTTATTTTAAAAAGCCACCAGTGGCAAATGTCCGGCAGAAAACAGTTAGGTTGTGGGTGGCGGCCGGAAGGCTTTGATCAGAAGCCCACGTCGGTCGTGCAGTGTTGAAGTGCTGTTGGCAGGTCACTCCAACGCGCCTGAAGACTGTGCGTGTGAAACGCCCCCTCTTGTATGCTCAATGTCCGTGTGAGCATTTTAAGATGCAAAGAGCTCATATGGTAAAGAAACATGTTCAGTTTTGGCCAGGAAGGATACTTCTTTGGTACAGTACCTTCCATGGAACATGGGAAATTCAGCTACTCTTTGTAATGCTAAATTTAGTAACAATAATCTCAGTATAGTCTGATTTTAAGAACGCCTTAATTTTGCCTCCTTCAGACTGTTGCTCGATGAGTCTGTGATGGAGAGCAGAGTGGTGGCAGGGTGGCAGGGTCTCCGACGCCTTCACTGTGCTGGGGAGGACATTTAGAGTATCCCCGGGCCTCCTCTGAGCACTTGTAGCAGGTTACAAAAGTGACCTCTTCCACGTGCGGACATGTTCTTCCTAACAGAGCGCTGAGAGTCCGCCCGCCTGGAGGGCGGTTTCCCTAACTCTGCTGAGTAAGTCTGCCCCATCTGCGTCTTTGAGATGTCATCCCACCTCCTCTGCTGTCCCGTCCCAGGTTAAACCTGCCTCAGGGTTATTAGACGGTTTGCTTGGGGTCTCTCTTCATCTCTGTTGCCCTCCTGGATATATTGCAATTGGTTACAATACCCATTTTAAATTATGGTGGCCAGAATGGAAATAGTTAGCATTTGTTGAGCCTTTTTGCCAAGCATCATACTAAAGTGCTTTCGGTGCTCCTGTGTTACTCAGTCCTCACAATAACCCAAGAGGAGGTTTTTGTCCCTACTTTGTAGATGGCATTCCGCTATTCAGAGAGGTTGGGGAGCTAACAGTGCGTGGAGGAGCCGGTCCGGGTCTGCTGACTCTTCCCCTCGGCCGGCGTGCTAAACACCTCTCTCAAGAGGGTTGAATTCATTAAGTGTTTTCTCTACATTTCAGCCACGATTCTGTTATTACAGATCAAGACTGTATTAGTGCCTCCTGCTATTGTATTACCTGTCGGCATCTTTGGAGCCAGAATTTAATTTTAGTGTTGTCTTATTTTTTGTAGCCCTAGAAGAAAAGAGCAGAATATGACAAGTTAATAGATTTTTAATTAATGTTATTGCCCAAAGTAAATTTGCAGTTTTAATATAAGTCCTGCCTGTAATGGTTAAAGCTATAAAAATCAATCTGAAAGTATTATTTATATATATTGTCAAAAGTTCACAAGACACAGAAAAGCATAAAGAAACAGTGCACTCATTATTCCATTGTACAGAGGTAACTGTTGAGTATTTTGGGATGTTTTCCCAACCCCTTCCCCCTGCTCTGTGCATATTTATGTGAGTAAGATGGTGGTGTTTGTATATATGTGTGTGTGTACAGTAAGCCCTCACTTAACAGTGGCAGTAGGTTCCTGGAATCTGCAACTTTAAGGGAAACAACAGAATATAACAAAGCCAGTGTTACCCTAGGCTCGTTGACATAAGAGGTGAGTTCCTATAGCCTGTTTCCAGTTTTAACTTTTAAATGAAGACTCGAAACATTTCTAATGCTGAACATTGAAATGTGAGCTGTACAGACATCTAAGAAAGATAAATAAAAACAAGATGATTTTCTAACCTGCTGATTCCAGTTCAGGGTCACAGGTGGCTGGAGCCTCTCCCACGACTTAGGGTGCAGGGCAGGATCACCCTGGACAGGAAACCCTCCCATCTCGGGGCCAGTCACACACACTCACACACTCACACTGAACCGTGTAGACACACTAGTCATCTCCCATGCACGGCTCTGTGGTGAGGGAGGGAACCGGAGCACCCAGAGAAAGGCCACCCAGGCGTGGGGACACAATCCTTGGACAGTGGTCCCAACTGGAAATCAGTTTCTAACCCCCGCCACCTGCATCAACACTGTAATAAAATGATGTTTGAGGACCTGCTTTATATGTCTGTGTATTGTCTTCCTGAACATTGACCTGAGCATTTCCCATGCTTCCCATGTTGATAAAACCTCATGTATATATTATAATAATTGTGTAATGTTCTATGACATGGGTGTATCAGTGTATTTAACCATTCTTCTATTGAAAATTTAGATTGCTTCTAATTCGTTGCTTTTGTAAAAGCTGCAGTGGTAAACGCAACCACAGAGGTTTGTCCTCTGTTTTATTTGTTGCAGTTTCATTGTGTTTTTAGTGTTTGCTTGGGATCTATCCTCAGGAACAGAACTGTGGGCTGATGGAACTTGTTTGCCTGGTCAGCTGTGAGTGAGCTTGCTCTCGGTAGGTGCCAGCGTGTGGGGCCTCGACGGGCGGTCCGACCACAGGCTGTGAGCGGCGAGTACACTGGGAATGCAGACCAGCGCACGTGATTTGTTGTCTGACATCTGTCATGTCCCCAGTATTTAGGCCAGAAAGAAGCCTGTTCTACTCACCTTCTTTATTTTGAAAGAATGTGAACGAACGTGTCGGTTGTCTAATGTTGGTTTGGTTCTGACACTACATAGAAGTTGATTGGGTACATGTGTAGATTTCGGAATAATATCTATGATGTGTAAGGATGTTTCAAGGTCCCTGGCCTTTTCTGTGTGTTTCTTCTCAAGAAGCTGTTTAGAGTTCTGCCTCTGAGGGTTAAAGTTATTTTATGCTTATAAGAGTAAATGCTATTGCGGTAATTTCAAACAATATAGAATGTGTAATATAGATGATTAAAGCCCTTTTATAGTCACTATTTACAATAGATATGCTTTTCTAGTGCTTTTATACATACTATTTTTATTTATTTTTAAAGATTTTATTGAAAAAGATAAAAGAAACATTGTGCAGAGGACAATGGTACCTCAGTCCCCTTCAAAGTAGGCACCTTGGGCCTACTTTGTAGGCACTGTGTAAGGACACAGTTCCCCCAGTTGCCACCAGCTGCCCTGTTGTATTTTCCTAAATGTCACTGATGGTCTGAAATCTCTTCCCTTTCAAAGGTGATTTTAGTTTTAGGAAAATCCAGGGGTCACAGAGTGCCAAATCTGAGCTGTGTGGGGGCTGAGTCCCCTGGGTGATCCGATGTTTCACCAAAAAAACCCTGTACGAGATGTGATGCATGAGCAGGCGTATTGTGTTGATGAAGCTGCCAGTCACCACTTGCCCACAGCTGTGGCCTGAATTATCAGAATAGTTTGTGCGGAGGACTGTTCAAGCTTAACACAAAATTGGATGCAGATTTGTTGTTCTACTCAGTCAGTTATTTTGAATGTGATGGCCACACAGTATACATGGTCACTCAATGTCATCTATTACCCACACCATCTAGTACAGTGAAGGTGTCATTGTTCACATATGCACATTCTAGTTCACTCTCCTTGGCTGCCAGGTCACATTGATGTCACGCAAACTGTTCTTGTTATATTAACAATGGCTGCACTTTTGCCACGCGGACCTCATATACTTAAACAGTTACTTAGTTTTTAAGAAATATGGGTGTATTACAATTTAGTCTTGTTTTTTTTTTTTAATAAAAACAAGCAAAATTTTCTATTGGTAGATACTTAAAATCTTTCAGAATTTTCTTTCAAACTCTTTTTTAAAAAGCTATAGTGACCACTTACTTCCTTATGATAAACCCCTAGGACAAGGGACACAGACATTATTTCTTTTTTTTTTTCTATTCTTTAAAAAAATAGGTTTAATTTTTAGAGCAGTTTTAGGTTCACAGTCAAATGGAGCAGAAAGAATGGAGACTTTCCATGCGCCCCCTTCCCCAACACTGGCACGGCCCCCCCACTCCGGACGTCCCTCACCGGAGTGGCTCGCGGGTGCCAGCAGCGCACTGGCACGGCACGGTCGCTCAGGTGGTAGAGGCGGCGTTCGGCTCACTCCGTGTTGTAAGTACCTTCTGTAAGTTTTTCTGTGGTTTTGAAAGTCTTTCTGGAGAGAGGGGGGGACAGGGAGAGAAACACTGATGTGTGAGAGAAACCGAAGGGCGTCTGGTTTGCTTCTGCGTTTTGGCAGATATGAGCGAAGCTGCCATAAACACGTGTGTGCGGGTGTGGCAGATATGAGCGAAGCTGCCATAAACACGTGCGTGCGGGTT